GGAGCCTGTTTCTTCCTCTCCCTCTGCCCCTCCCTCCTGCTTGTGCATGTGCGCAGGCACACTCTTCTCTCTCTCTCTCTCTCTCAAATAAATAAATAAAATCTTAAAAAAAAAAAAAAGTGGAACCTGAGCATTGTAGTGGGCTTCGGAGGTGCTCTTAATTCAGTTTCCTACCCAAAGTGAGAATTCTTAAATCTAATGGGGGGTCTTTACTGCCTCTGGGAAACCCCCTACCTCTGTAGACACAAGTTTCCTCATCTGTAAAATGGGAGCGCTTGCATGACAACCAGTAGGATAATTAGGAGCATTATGTGAATTAATGCTTTTGAAGATCTTAGAGCAGTAGCTTGGCCTGTGTTGGCTGTTACTACCTTTGCAAGGTTTTCCATTCCCTTCTAGGACTTTTCTTATTGGATGACAAATCTGGTTATTGAGCCAAAAAACAGTTCCTGGAACTATGCAGAAGTCTTATCCAACATCTACATTAACAGTCCTTCTAATACTTGAAGACAGCTTTCATGAATTTAATAACTGCTTTCTGTGGTTTTTTCTTTTTTAATTTCAAGAATAGAACACAGTAGACTATAAAAATGAGCGTTATCAGTTTTCCTTTGGATTTTCTATGTAAATGTTGTTTAACATTCAAATGGAGCTGATTATAATTTGAGATATTAACAGTTAGATATGCCATTGTGTCCCTTTGTTATTGTTTGTAAAGGAGGTTAAACACTATATTAACTTCTGAGTAGTGATTTATTGTTGCTTTTGTTAGAGAAAAATAAAAAAAGAAGTAAAATAATATAATTTGATATTGCCTTTGAGAATTTTCAGTTTGCAGAGGTCTTTATTTCCTACTCAATTTTATTTTTTAAAAAGCATTACATGTAGTGTAAATACAGCATCACATAAATGCCGAGTTGTTCTTTGCTTCTTGGCTTAAGCTGTTGTGTAATATTGCTCTGTAACCATTAAGCAGCTGCTCTGCCTAAGAGATGCTCATATTTCCTTTGGTAGATGAAGGGAATTCACTATATGAATGTCTCCAAATTGATTTAAAGTCGTTGGCCTTTGTATCAGCTACTTAGATTCACAGTGGTCTAGGTAACACATGAAAACCATGCTTCTGGAAGGCCCCAGCAGCCTGGAGGTTACAGATGGGGTTGTGTTAATAGTAATAACCTGCATTTTTGCTGAGTCTCATCCTCTGTACTTTGACAGGGCTCCTGACACTCTGCATGATTCTCCCCGGTTATTTTGCCAGAGTCCTTATGCATTCTTTCTTATATATTTTCTTGTATGCTATTAGCTATCCAAGTCCTCTCTCCTCCACTGTTTCTTTCCTTTGCCCTCCTCATCTCGGGTAATGCCTGTCCATCGTAAGGCTGTGCTGTGTGCAAAGATGAATGGAGGAGGCAGCCGTCTGCTTCGGGTGCTTCTCCCAGGTTACCCAGTTGCCTGATTCCTCCTAGCCCCCACTCCCATAAGGTCATGTGGGGGGGGGGCGCGTTACCGCTCATCCTAGGGGGCCCTCCTTTCTGTGAAGTCTCACTATGCTCCATGCAGGACTGGAGCCCCGGGGGGACGTGTGGGTGTTGCATTTTGTCAAGTGGGTGCCAAAGCAGTTCTGACATATTTGCAGTGCCTTTCATAGTTTCAGCAAAATAACTCTTTCAGGTTTCCTTGACGATTCAGATTCCTCGGAACTTGAGGTGAGGGATGGAGAAGCACCCTGCTACATTCCGGATTGCTTTCCCTTTTCTATGAGATAGGCATTGTATCTGCCTCTGTGTGACTGCCTGTCTTCCGCTAGTAGGATTAGTTTGAGGGGCCTCCTCCCACCGGTATGATTCGGCTCCTGAGGTCCGCTCACCATTCCATCTTCATGAGTATGACGAAGCAGATGGAGCCTTGACTACTCACTGGAGTGATAAGGAAATGAACTTCAGATAATATCTACATATTAAAATGTTATTACGTATGATACATGATTTAATTTACATAAATATATTGAAATGTTCCCTAGTCACTCACTCATCAATTTATTTTACAAATATGTTTATTTGAACTCTGATCCTTTAAACACTTCTAGTTTCTTGGTAGTTACTTTGTACCAAATGTCTAAAGTTGTACACTAGTACATAACAAAGTCATCTGATCATCATTCTTTCCCCATCTACCCAAAAGCCTGAATAAACTCCTCAGCAGATGAGTTCCAGGGACTAACAGGAGTCAGTATAGTTATCCTTCAACCTTAAGCCATCCATACCTATATTGTTACACAATTACTAAGACGCTTATTTATGACCCTGTTCCAAAAGGTTAAAATTTAAAATTTTGTTCTTTGTAAGCATTGATTTAGTGGTTAGTATATATATAGGCGCTGAGTTGGTTGTTAAGGGAGAGTCCCCAGTCACTCTCCCAAATAAAGGAGCTGATAATCCAATAAGGAACACAAGACTTGAAAACAGATATCCTGGACACTTGAATGTGTACAGTGATGTAAATGAGTACAGACCAGGTGCCCTGTGAATTCAGAAGAAAGAGATCATTTCTGGCTGGTGCAGGGATTGGAGGAGGAGGGTAGAGGAACGGGTTACAGAGTGGATGGTGGTTGAGCTGGACATTGCAGGATGAAGACAGAATATGCCGAGAGAGAGGGAACTGCATGAGAAAGGTAGGAGGGCAGGCATTTACAGAGTACAGTTGGGTGAGGACAAATAATCTTGTCTGATTGGTTAAGTATATGAGCTGCCATCAAGATAAATAAGGTCTTCATATTTAATGTATTTGCCAAGTATAAAATTTTATATTTACTGTATATAAAGTATAATTTGTTATACTTTACAAAGATGTGTATTGCATTTGTTGTTGTTTTATACAATGATAACCTACCATGCTTCAGAAAATTGAAAATATCTTTCCCCGCAACCACACAAAGGGACTCAAAGTCCCTTTTTTGTCTTCATGGCTTTAAGTACCTTGTACAGTGTAGGCTACCTAAAAGTTTCTCAATAATCACTGAAACGCATTCAACCTGGTGAAAAGCTAAGTTGCTTGAAAAGTAGGAGTTTCTTAAAATATGGGTACATCAAATGGGGACATTTTGTCGTTACCCTCTTAAAAATGTCTATTTTTTCCAAGTAGGACTTAATATGATACCTAAGTTTTATCACCAGCTGAGATCTCATAATTCCTTCACACTCTTTCTTTTGTTCTGTTTCTAAAGAAGGTAATCGATGGGTATAATAGTGTTCAGACAAGCATGGCGCCTCAGTTCACAACAGTAAAGCATAGAAGCTCATTGAATGATTTTCTGTCTTTTCATGCTATGTACAGTTAAAAAGTAGTGTGGCAGCTTTTGTTCTGGTAAAATTGCTAAATAAAGATTTACACATAATTTGAGACCATCTGGAATCCAGCATGCGTAATTCAAAGTATGGGTGACTGGTGACCCCACTGGCCAATCCTAACTCATTGGGAACATTTAATCAGTGCCTACTATGGATTTTATGTTTTTGTCTCACTTATTCATAATAATTTTATTATCTCTAGTTTTTATTTATTTATTTATTTAAAAGATTTTATTTATCCATTTGACAGAGAGATAGAGAGAGAGAGCACAAGTAGGCAGAGCGGCAGGCAGAGGGAGAAGGAGAAGTAGGCCCCCCGCTGAGCAGGGAGCCCGACGCGGGGCTCCATCCCAGGAGCCCGGGATCACGACCCGAGCCGAAGGCAGCCGCCCAACTGACTGAGCCACCCAGGCACCCCAATTATCTCTAGTTTTTAAATGAGGAGTCTGAGACACCAGGAGTCTAATAACATGATCAGGATTCCACACTGATAAAGTGTGGTTGGGTGTCAAATTCCAGCTCCCTGACTTGAGAACTAAGCCACGTATGACTCACAGTCCTGTCCTGAATCGAATCCCCTGGTTAGCCTCAAAACTTGATGTAACATCTGATCCAGTTGCCGGTTCTTAGAATCTAGAGTTTGTTTTCCTGGAAACATTTGCATTCTGAGGGTTTTTGGGCTTTTCTTATTCTCTTCCTGGGAAGCAGAGAGTAACCATATCCCTCCTCCTGCTTTCTGTCCCTCTTTGCCCTCAGCACACCTCCTGCACATCAATGAGAAGCTGGGGAGGTGACTGGGTATTTGTGGGAGTCCTCATTTCTAATTCTGGACACAGCTTGACCAGATCCCAGACAGCACAGAACTTAACTCAGGCTCTCGAACAGTGGGCCACAGTCACTGTGGACCCTGCACTTGGATGTCACGGAAGGGTCACGTGGCTTTCCTGGAGGCCTGGATTTATCACCGTTTGCTAGAAAAAGTATGCAGTTCTCGAAATGAAGGGAGTCCAAGGAAGTAGTAGCAAGAGTGAGAGGGCAGTGGAATCACGTGAGGTATAGCAAAGGTGCGTGGAAATAGGTCTATGCAAAGTATTTGCTGTACGTGCAAGTTCTGCTTTTGTGTGATTCATGACCTTGAAACAAGGGTGGGGGAGTGCTGCTAACAGCAGTTCGCTTTTCTTTAATCAGGGAAGGATTTGTGAAAGAACAGTGGTTTCAAGAAATCTTTGAAGTAATTCCAACAAGGTTCTAATTGTGGTTGTGGTTTTCCTTTTTCTTTCTTTCTTTTTTATAAATGGGTAGACTTTAGTCTACCAGGTGCTACCGGGCTGAATGCATTCGGTAAGAACCCCTGAGTCTTCATTCTCTATGCGTGAGCCGTGGCAAATAAAACCATTCCAGTTGCCCTGTACATTTAGCAAGTGGGGAAAAAATTTCCCTAGGAAATTATTTGGCATCTCAACTTCTTACTTTTGTTTAAACAGACCCCGGATTGCATTCAAAGAGTTTTGCTTTTACTTGTGTTTGTTACAAGCACACTTGGTTTTTTTCTAACCTTTGGTTTCAAAACACTTGAACAAATCCTAGCATTTAATCATTTATTTGTTTCCTGCTTATGCTGATCTTTTTCCTCTTGATATTTATTTTCAGGTTACCTGGAGGATAGTTTTGTAAAATCTGGAGTCTTCAATGTGTCCGAACTTGTGAGGGTATCCAGAAGTAAGTTAATTGTTTTGTTACTATTTAATTATACAGTATGATTTAAAATATTTTCTACTTTGAACCTTCAACACAGTATTAAGAATAACCACTTACTGGGAACATTTGAGTTTTAAAATTTCCATCTTTTTGATGAAATCATAAGTGGATATATTTTGTCGGATTTTCTAATATATTTGCCTTTAGATCATCAAACTTTTGTAGTACAAAAATAATTGGGGGTTTGTTCTGATTGCTGTGTTATTGGTAGTCATTTAATTCACTGTTCTCTCTGTGACCATAGATGGTCATTTATATCAAAGGAAGTGTGATTAATTAAATGTACTCCATGTTGTTATGATAACCCACATAAGTTTCCTGTAGATAAGTGCTTTTTCATTTTACTAACGTTTTGGTGGGGGCTTGGAGATGTACAGGATATACACACTAACATGCAGAGTGTAGAGGGATGCAGAAATTAACTTTGCAGATTGTAGTTTGGATATAGATAGAAAGCTATTGTGATCCAAAACAATGTCCAATTGTTTTAACTGGCCACCTCACCTGAGACACCATTCTTGACAGCCCGGATGAAATTTTTCTTGGGTTAAGTTCACCTGGCCAGCTACCTAAGCAAGGGAGTAGTTTATGGACTTAAGTCTTTTACGTATTACTAGTGTGTACATATATACCTAAGATGTGGCTCTTAAGGCATTCATCATGTTAAAGGAGGTGACTCATTTCTTCTTGTTCTCTTTGATTTAGCTTATTTATGTAATTTTGAAGGCTATATTTTTACCTGACATTTTGTTAGAGAGCGTTGCCGTTTGGAATGATGTTACTCAGATGATGTAGTGGCGTTCAGTCCTTGTTTAAGTTGTGTTTTTCATCTGGGTCAAATTCAGAAATCCTGAACAGGAATTATGGTGATCCCAAAAGAACAAAGCAAGTTACTGAGGGTAAGTTTAGGTAGTGAGTTAGAGTTGTGGTCAGTGAAGTAATCCCCCAGCTGGGAGGTGACTGTGTCTTTCCAATCAGACTTTCTTAAAGAGTTCCTCTTTCTAGAGTGGCCAGTGCAAATAGCATGTATCTCAGGGAGTTGTATGCATGAACATTTAAGACCTTCAGTAACTTATGCTTTCTGTCGTATTCCGCGGTAGATAAATACATGCCCCAAAGACTTCTGTCATGGATCTGTTTACTTAGGGCAGTGCAGGAGACCAAAACCTAATACCCTATATCCCAGAAACTCTAGGGTTCATGTTTGCTGAAGAGGAGGATTCTGATGGTCTTCTCCATTCTGCCATGAGCCTTGCATGTTTTTCCCAATCAATAATGTGGTATGGAAGGCCTCTGACATTTGAAAGTTTTCTGTGTTTATTTTTAATTTGGAAAGGAACGTGCCTGACTTACTCACTACCACTTTCTGGCATCATGTAAGGAAGGGGGAATTTGAAAGTGGGGAGTGGTGCTGTGTGTGTGGGGGGGATGTTTTCCCTACACTGTTCTGCTACAGTTATGAGACATTATAACATTATTTGTTTAAATTTGTCTTTTCCTAAATTTCATGCTATATTTCCTCCTTCTCATGAGAAGGACCGAAGAGGCATCTGTTAGAAAATACTATCAGTTCCTCATTATAGGTAACATCATGCTAGATGCTATAGATGGGCAGCCACCTAGAACTTTTAAAAGCCCAGAGTGATATTTTGAAAAATCTGAATTTACACATAAATATTTAAAAGACAGCTTTCCAGAACAGTTCAAAAGTGAGGTAGGTTTAATATACTTTACTCATTCTTTTTAAACTGATACCTTAAGGTTTTTAAGTTATCTGTTACAACACACATTACTGATCTGTAATTAGTATATTACCTATATTCATTCATTAATTTATTCAGCAAACATTTATTTTCTACTCTGTATGTAAATAGGTGGCCCTGAAATGCTTGAGAAGTTATTCTCCTAAGTGTTTTAATATATCCACATCATAATCTTATTTACACAGTTGAACTTCGTTGTTTATGAAATACGGGTTTGCAAAGTAAGCAGAAACTTCAGCACGACCCTTATGCTGTATATCACAAATTCTGACTTCTTGAGGGTTTACAGTATGTTAATGGTTTCTGGCCTCCAGGGTTTGACTATCAAATGACCTGCTAATGTGTCTGTTGACTTTAGCTAATGAAGCTCCTCAGTTTTAGGATAGTGATCTTTCTGTTGAATGATATTATCTCCATTTTGAAAGTTGATTTAGGATCAGCTTTTGGAGTGAGAAGAACAATAAGAGAGATTAAGGGTTGGCCTCTAACCCTTAGAATCTGAGGTTCTTTGGAGCTTCATTTCTAAGAGGATATTGGCAGCCTCTTAAACATGATTTGCAGCTTTCAGACTTTGCAGCTCTCCAGGAGAGGTGCTAACGCTGATCTTTGCATCTGATGTAAGTTCTTCCAGAGGCTTTTAAACAGGAATATCAGCTTCAGACTTGCCATGCTCACATACTCTCTTTATTATTAAATACATTAAGTGAGTGCTGCTTTAGAATTTGGCCAGGTTTATTAATAATCTACTCTTCTTCTTGTACTCTCCCCTTTAATGTCCGAAGGCACATTACATTTTTGCAATGCTCACGTATAAATCTGTGGATAAATTATTTTGATTGCTGTCCTGATAGTCTGTAATAATCCTTCGGCAAGAGAATTTAGAAAAACAAAATTTCCAAAGATTTTTTTTATTATTTTACTATAAATTTCTTCTAGTATGTTTATGGCCAAGCAATCTGTGTTGACTCTTAAGCCATATGCATGAAAGAGAAACTACAGATCTTTGCTTAAATGTTGCATGAGCTTCATAAATTGCAAGTACTTTACATAAGTTATAACCTGTAAGTTTCCTGTTAGTAATTCAGTTCTTTGAATTGTATCCATTACTGTTGCAGAAGGTTGGACAGATTACTGACATCCCCACCCCCCCCCCCCCCCCGCCCAGTCCCTCAAATGCCTCCTTCTAGCACATACCCTGCTTTCCAATGTTACATAGAACATGGTTCTAATAATAGACTTGAAAGCATGTGGTTACTGTGGGATTTCTTACCTTGCCTTTTTTTTTTTTTAAACCTCCGGTGTACCTCAAGCCACAACAAACAGTTACATTTTAGCTGCCCAAAGAATTCAAGCCATTTGGCATAGTTACCCATTGAATACAAATATTTTCTGTCTTACTAAAATGAAGTTAAAGTACATTATATAAAAAGAATAATTTAATAGAAGGCATAAACTCCAGAAGTTTGGAGCTGAGACTAATCTTGTATATATTGATTTAATTTTTAATAGGGGAAGAGAGAGATTCATTGTATATTCTTTGATTACTTCTCTGCAATAACACATGTGCTTCCTAATCATACTTTCTTAAAAATATTTTAAGTAAATCTTGACCGACCTGCTATTGACATACAATTCAGCTGACAGCGAACACATGTAGTGAACACATCAAAATTCTGGGGAAGAAAAATTCCCTGAAAATCTGCAGTCCTTTTGGAATCGTGTATTCAGTTTGAAGCAGTTGGAAGAGAGGAAAATTAAGTAGACTGTATGTTCTTAGAGTGAATCACAAGGGCTCTAGAGTTTTGTTGCCATAGCCCCAGGACACACTTTCTCTCATTAGAGCTTTTGAAGGCCGGATAAAAAAAGGTAAAGCAAGACACTAATTCTTCAGCACTGTCCTTTGACACCAACCTGCCTGGTCTCTCCTTGCATATTATCTCTGCCCGAGATATTGCTCTTGTAGAAACCCCTTTTGAGAATGACCTCCCCTTAAGATCTTACTCATTCTCCAAAGTCCAGTGCAAGCTCTGGGTTCTCCAGAGAGTTCTTGGATCATTCAAGCCTGTATTGGGTTCTTCTTCCCATGAAATCCCGTAGCATTTATTGGTGCTGTCATTCACTTGGGCTGTTCCATTATAATCAGCATTATGCTGATATTTCTATTTTTTCAGGAGTGTTTTGTTTACCCAGCTTGTTACCCAATCTGTTTTGTTAAGGACAGGAACTATCTTAGACTATTTTGTATCCCTTGCAGCACCTGCCAGTAATGGACACAAACAACTTGTTGAAGGAACAGACTTTCAACAAATAGGTTCATTTATAACTCTTTGTCTGCTTTTAGCATGGTTTGAACTGTTCACCCTTTGCTAACCACTCCAGGCTGCCAGGGAAGAGATGTGGGGAAGAAATCAAGGAGAGACGGATCTCACGTTTGGTGAATAACTATTATGCAGTAGGCACGATGCTGGGCTTTTATCACTCCTTATTACTCCTTATCTTATTTCATCTTCAAAATAATCATACGGGGTAGGTGACTGGTATTCTCATTTTGTAGCTTGGGAAACTGAGGCACATAACTCAGAAGCGGCAGAGAGAGTTCAAACTATAAATGGCTACCTCCCAAGACTCTACCCCTTCTAATACAACATGCTGCCTCACGAATCTATTCAAGATGTCCAGAAACAATTTTTTTTAAATTTGAATAGATGTAAACCATTATACAAAAACCAAAACTTTTACATACAAGAATCTCAGTTCATACTATATCAGCAGAGTCAAAAAGATTTCTTGATTTACAAAATAATACTTTAAAGTATAAAACTCCATGAGTACATTTTATTTTTATTTTTTAATAAATTATTTATTTTTAATTTTTTTTCATGAATACATTATAAGTGATTGTTATAAAGCTGGGCATACAAACTTTTTTTTTTTAAATCATGACTATTGAGTAAAGCCACACTTAACTATTCATATATTGAACTTGAATATGTATTTGGGGAAAACAAAAACTTGGCTCTTACTTCACATTTGTCAACTTTACTTGTGTACCTGTCCTAATATAAGAATTCGTTATACCAAAAACTAATGATGATACATGGTGATTAACATAACAATAAAAAAATTAAAAAAAAGAATTCGTTATACCAAGTAATTATTCATATGATTTCTAATGCGTTTTACCATGTTAATATTCTAATTTCATTAACAGCGATTTGGTTTTTGAGAACCAACTTAGAGGGCACCTGGGTGGCTCAGTCGATTAAATATCTGCCTTCGGCTCAGGTCATGATCCCAGGGTCCTGGGATTGAGCCCTTCGTTGGGCTCCCTGCTTGGGGTGGGGGTGGGGGGGTCCTGCTTCTCCCTCTCCCCACCCCCCGCTCATGCTCTCTCTCTCAAATAAATAAAATCTTAAAAAAAAAAAAGAACCAACTTAATACAAAGCACCTTGTTTGGTGCTGAGCAATAGGAAACATGTCGTTTCCTCTGACGCATCTATAGACTAGTGTGGTGACAGATGTAGTAAAAACTAATACAAAGGAGTGAGTGAAGAAGGTTGGAGAGTGGGAATAGGGGAAGCGGTAACCAATGATTATAGTCTGAGTGCCTCAAGTTTCCAGACTTGAACACTGGCGTCCTGAGGAGGTCTCCAAGTCGTACCCTGGTGGACGGTTGGTATTAGAGTCTCAGGATAAAGAGAGTTTGCCCAGAGGCGTGGAACATACCAGATTATTACATTGAAATAGAGATGACCAGTGTAAAAGTCATTCCTGATGTTTCTTTCTGTTTTATTCCTCAGCGCCCATAACCCAGGGAACTGGAGTCAACTTCCCAATTGGAGAAATCCCGAGCCAGCCCTACTATCATGACATGAACTCGGGGGTCAATCTTCAGAGGTCACTGTCTTCTCCACCAAGCAGGTAACTGAAAGAGGAGTTGCACTTGTTCTCAGTCTATAAGCAGCTGGGTGGAGAGGTAGATATGCAGATAGGTAGTCAGATAAAGCGATCGGGGAAACAAAGCCAAGAGTTCAAGAATTTTTGCTGATTCTACATAAATTTTTACTCTTACCTGGTTAAATTTATTTTATTTGAAAATTAAATGGAATTGTTCAAAACATTAAAAACATCTTTGGGGTGGGACAAGGGAATTATATTCCCTTCATATAAAATATGAATATGATTTTATTCTTTTCTATGAAATATTAGAATTTTACAAGTTCACTAAATCTTTTAGTGACTTAAAAGCAGTGTTGTCATGGCAGAGAGCCCTTGTCTATAGATTGATCCATCCTGGTAATTTCTACCCTACCATCACATCCAAGCTGGGTATAATAAAACGTGCAAAATAAAATGTGTCATCTACTTAACCTTAAAAGTAAAGGTCTTATTCTAGGCCACACTTTGCTAATGTCCTCAGTGAGTCGGTATTTTTTTAATAATTTAGTTGATTCTTCGTCACCAATGAAAGTATTACCTGCTCTGAGATTTGGTTTGACCAGCCTTTGAGGGGGGAGAGCTACAGTGAGGTTACTGTACTTTTTAGTTCCCTGTTAACATTCTCACTTTTCTCTCTTGACTTTCTGATTGTAACTTTGAATCCCACAGGAGTTTAAAAAGAGGTTTTCTATTTAAATGAGGGATAAATAGCTTGGAAAGTTGTTGGTGCAGGATTTAATAATGATATGTTCCACTGTCATTGGGTGCTAGAAGAGGACTGAGTTACTGAGAACTAAGATGAATAAATATTATAGCTTTATTGGGTTTTTTTTAAGCTGGATCTTCAGTACATGAAGATCCATCTGACTTTCAGAGCATTACATATGCCCATGATCAAAGGTAAGAGTGTACATGAATTGCAGAGCAAAACATTGCATTTTATAATACCCATTTTTTTAAGAATAAAAGAATATCTGGGTAATTATTTTCCTATCCTCTTCTCAATAATGAAAGTCAATTGCATTTGAATTAATTTTGGGGCTGTGCACTTTTTATGTTTATTAACTAAGTTCAATTTTATATCATTTATGGTCAAACTGTGTCTTCATATAGTCAAGTTACATAGCAAAGTAATTTGGTTTATTGTCACTCAGATTGTCTATGACATGGTTGGGTCTTAAAAAATGCTTTAGTTTTTCTAAATTTGAAATATGAATAGTAGGTTTCTATTTGGTCTGATGGATCAGTATGTTGTCAACACAGATCTTTCTTCATAGTCATTTGGTTTCAGATGTTATGCCATTAGAAGGTTTCAAAAACATTTCTCTATTATTTCCTTATGAAAAACTTTTCTCTCTCAGTTTAAGTCTTCCGTACATATTTACTACTGATTCACAGCTGAGAGAATTAGATTAAAGGAGAGTTTAAAAAAACCATGCATTCTAACTTTGGATACCATAGGAATAAATTAAAGGACTATTATTTACTCCCATTGTGGTTTCGCATGGATAAAAACTGCTATCTTCTACATCATGTTAATACTCTGGGAGTTGTGAGTCAAATATTAATCACAAGTGCCTCTGTGAATACGTACCCATGCTTCTAGGATTCCAGATGTATACAGGCTTCTAGGATTTGGAAACAGTGCAGCAAAAAGAACACGGTCTTGGAAGTCAGAAGTCCTTACTTTGTGGCAGACTGCTTCCACTAACATGCCCTGGGAATTCACTGAATTTCTCCGAATTTGTATCCCCACTTGTAAGAAAAGGGAGGACTGATTTACGGATAGGACTTAGGAAGTCAGTTCCAACTCTGAAATCCTATGACGTATTTATTATCACTGCACAAAATTAATTCAGAAGATATCTCTCTTTGATTTTTACCTGTAGAGATGTACATAAGGTTTTTCTTTTTTTTTAATTTAAGGAAAAGAATCCATTTTCATAGTCATAATTGACTGTTTAATAGGGTATTGATGAGAATATATGTAGGAGTATATCATGCAAGATGGCCTATGCCATGACATAGCTTTTAATTTTAATTAATTTATTTATTTATTTTTGAGCACATGGATGGGAGGGTGGGCGGTTTGGGGAGGGAGAGAGAGAATCTTAAGCAGGCTATATGTCCAGCACAGAGCTCAACACAGAGCTTGATCCCACAACCTTGAGATCATGACCTGAGCCGAAATCAAGAGTCAGACACTTAACCAACTGAGCCACCCAGGTGCCCCCATGACATAGCTTTTTAATCTCTGCCCTAAATATTCACTTTTCTTAATAACTGGGTTGAGCCATGTTTTCTTTATTAAATTGTTTTATTTATCTGTTTGTTTGTTTGTTTATTTATTTATTTATTGAGAGAATCTTAAGCAGGCTCCACACCCAGCATGGAGCCAAATGCAAGGCTCAGTCTCACGACCCTAAGATCATGGCCTGAGCCAAAATCAGAAGTCGGACTCAACCAACTGAGCCATCCAGGCGTCCCTAAATGTATTATTCTAAAAGTATACTGTTTTGGGGCGCCTGGATGGCTCGGTCATTAAGCATCTGCCTTTGGCTCAGGTCATGATCCCAGGGTCCTGGTATCAAGCCCTGCATCGGGCTCCCTGCTCGTCAGGAAGCCTGCTTCTCCCTCTCCCACTCCCCCTGCTTGTGTTCCCTCTTTCGCTGTGTCTCTCTCTGTCAAATAAATAAATAAAATCTTTAAAAAAAATAAAAGTATACTGTTTGTTTGAATTTGGCAATGACCTATTTTCTTGAGAATAAAAGATCATAACCTAATTTTTTAGAAAAAATATAAAGAATATATGAAATAATTTAAAATCAATAAAGTCCTACAAAAATTTTTATATTATTAATTATATGGTTACTAATAATAATTACTACTTAATAAGTATCTTCTAAATGCCAGCCACTTAACTAAGAGCTTTACATTTAATCCTCTCAACCACTCCTCTTTGAACTAGGTTTTATTATTTCCATTTTACAAATGATTAAACTGAGTTTAGAAAGGTTAAGGAGCTTACTCTTAAGAAATAGTGAGTGGACTAGTCAAGATTTGCTACTAGGCTGGTTCCACTCCAAAGCTCATGTTCTACGGACTCCTTCGCCTTATGTTTGAATTAGTATGAAAGAATTACATTGGTATGGCAAGCGCTATGCTAATATATATTATTAGCATTGATAATAATGATAAGAGTCAGATGCAATCTTAATAATTTTAAAGTTAGTACACATATCACACCAAAAATTCACTTTTTACTACAGAAGTTTCTTTGAAAACACATTTCAAAAGGTAAATATAATAAGCACCCTATCGTTAGGCAGGTACAGGTATAAGTGTAATAAATGACATATACAACTAGAAGTGTTTGCTACTTCTTTTGAAGTCTGGAATACTCTCCATTATTTCAGAAATGATTCTGAGATGCTATTACTTGTGTTTTTGGAAATTTTCATACTAAGAATCTTCTCAAATTATATACTTTCACCTGCTACACACCCCCTTAGACATCCCATTAATGCAACTGTTGTCATATTTTAACAGCAAAAGACCCAAAACTATATCCATAGATGAAAATATGGAACCAAGTCCTACAGGAGACTTCTATCCGTCTCCGAATTCACCAGCTGCTGGAAGCCGAACATGGCACGAAAGAGATCAAGGTAAGTGATGACCTGATTCCTCTGGGGACATCAGACTAAAATGTCAGCTTGTTTCAGAAGTTTCCTTTAGTCAAAATTTCATCATTGAGTCAATATGGGTGATATTTTCTTCCTAAAATGATTGCAGTAAAATTATTTTGAAGATACTGCATTAGTCACGTGTCATCAAAGTTATAAAAATCCCTTATTTCCCGTGTTGGGCTTTTTCTCCCAGACAGAATAATGTTTTAGAACCCCCAATTGTGCATGTGACCGATTATGGTTTGTCTGCATTTGTTGACCGGATTGCAGCCAAATTGCAGGGTCTGAGTCCATTAGATCAGTCTGCTACTCTGTATGGGGTGTTTCAGGGAGGAGCCACACTTCCAGCAGGTTGCAGGGGATAGTTACTGACTATTCCCATTTAAAGGAAGTCATAATTCCCTTTGGAAGTGGGTACAGCATAAACAATAAATTCAAGTGTAATATAACAAACTTCGTGTCTGAGTCAATCTGGTTGTTCCTTCTAGATGAAACTGTAGGGCAGCTTCGGGTGAAAAATATAACTTTATAGGTATTGTTTGGCTCTCTAAATTCAGACTTAGCTCTTTTTCATTCTTAAAGTCTTGTCGGGTCAAATATATTTCATCAGACATCCTCATGCCTTTTCGCCGCAACTAGCGAGAGATTAGTGAGCATGGAAATAAAAAGAATTAACTAACTGCGATGTCTTGTTGGTATGTATGTGTGCAAATACGATTTATATCAACAGCACAAAAAATAATTGAAAATTGTCTTTTAAATCAAATTTTACAGTTTACTAAAAATGTAAAAAGAAAAATCTCTTTACCAGTGGTTTTTAGCCCGTGACTCGAGTGCATGTTTCTGAGGCTGAGTAGCTGTATACTAGGTTATTTCAGGAAGCAAACAACTGAAGCATAGGCAGTTCAAGTCAAAATCAGTTCTTTATTCAGGACTTATTTGCTGTTGCACATTTGAAACAGGGCGCCTGGGTGCAGGGGGCATCGGGTGACTCAGTTGGTTAAGCAGCTGACTCCAGATCTCAGCTCAGGTCTTGATCTCAGGGTGGTGAGTTGAAGCCCCATGTTATAGGCTCCAGGCTGGGTGTAGCACCTACTTAAAAAATATATATATATATTTCACTAGAAAAAAAAGTAGTGAAAAATCTTCATGGAGGCATTGGACTTTGAGTCAGGTGGGTCTCCTTTAGCCTGTTGAGGTTTTTAACTGGTAAAGAAGGGAGCAGAGTAGTCAGAGAGAAGACCATAGCCAAACGCTGTGTGAGTAAGATTCACAATGATGTGTTGTACTGTGTGGCTGGACACTGTATAGAAGGAAGTAAGGAGAGGTGATGGGTCATTTTGCGGAAGAATCTGAAAATCAGCTGGAGAATTTTGGCTCTGAGATGCCCCCCCCCCGCACTCCCCCACCCCCCCATCCCCCAGGCCTTCCAAATCTATTCTTCAAACAGTACATAAAATGTCTATAAAACATAATAACGTGGTATTACTCTTTTGCTTAAGTCTTTCAGTAACTTGCCACTCCTCTTAGGTGAAAATCAGAATCCTCTCATGAGGGGCAGTCCCCTTTCCTTGCTGTTGTTTCTTGCACTTTAGCTTGCTGTTTTGTTAATATTTGGGAAGGCAAAACCCAAGACCTTCCTCTCAGACACGCCCTCTGGGATTCTTGTCTTCTAGCTCTTCATCTCGCAAATTTGGGGGCTTCTTTCAAGCCCCAGCCTACAATGATTAATTCCAATCTAAGTTCGGTCTTCCTATTTTCCTCTCCTGACCCCCAGTAGTGTTCCTTCATTGTTCTCATAATAAATAGTTACGTACTTGTTTGTGGGATTCATTGTTTAAATCCATCTGCTCTGTGAGGGCAGGGACCTTATGGATTTGGGCTATTATGTAACCAGCACCCTGGTGCATAGTAGGGACACACAAGATATTTGTTAGATAAATGAAATATTGATAGGCAGAATATCAGTCTCATTAGTGAAAGCAAGAACTTTCACCAGACTTGCAGAAATAAGAATAAAAACCAAACCCTTGACCCTTTCTGTTTTACTGCTTGTTTAACTGGTATTGTCAGTTTGTTTTAAACAAAGCCATATTTTCCTCTTGAGAAAATTATTCTGGAAAAGATTCTAATGGTAATAATACATTGTGAATGTGTGGGAATGGGTGTGTTGTTGAGAAGTGTAGGTGTTCTTTATTATAGAGAGTGTCACTTTGTAAAAATTGATTCCTCTTTCAGCGTATTGAATAAAGGCAATCTGAAATCATATTATAAAACATTTTTGAAAAGTAGAAGGGAAACTGTCATTCTTTCTCTTTGTAAAATCGTTGTATTGTCTTGGTGATTTTCTTTTGTCAAGATGACTAGAATTATTGGAGAAGTCTGTGAGGGCATATTTTATTAAGAGTAAGGAAGAATGATCCATTCTCAAGTGTGCTTAAAAAAAAACTCTGTCACTTTAATTCTGAAGACCCTGAAGACTTTGTAATGTGCACAATAAGCTATTGTGGGAAGAAGTCTTGAACTACAATAAAAAAAAATGAGGGCAGTACAGCACTATCTTTATAAATTTGCTAAGCCAGATGCAGTCCTTTTGTTCTTAGAAAATTGCTTTTTTAAAAATTTGCAAAATAAAATGCCCCATGGTTGTTCTTGTCCATCTTCAAATGTTCTTCAGACACATTTGGCTGTCACGAAGGGGGTATTCTAAAGGGCGTATTGAGTACCACTCGATATTTGTAATGGATTTAGTACATGTCTTATACTTGTTTCTCCCACAAAGCCCTGCATTAATTGGTAACCAATAACTACTTATTGGTTAATTAAAATATGCTTGTGTTTATAATTGGCAGAGGTGTTCAAAATGTACCATTAATTATTTTCTGGGAATGCCTTATTCTGGTAGTGTTAACTTTGCATTAAAATCTACTCTTGCCATAGCCCTTAGCAGCACTGATTTTTAAAATAGAAGAATCAAAGATAGCAAAATTATGGACAATATATGGCATTCTACTTTCCCTCATAATCTGGAGCACCAACATAAGCCACTGAGATTTTTCTTCCAACTAGGCCGAAATAAAGGATATAAGATGTCCAATTTAATATACTCACTTTGTTTTAAAAAGCATTTAGGCAAATTTTTAACGCAAAATCTAGGTTCATGTAATGACAAATATTTATGTACCTTTTAGTAGTTTAATGGAAAAAGTATCTTTATTTTAGGGTATTATAAACATAATTAGTTATATTTGTATGTTCGTTTTTTTCCCCCACAACACAGAAAAGTTATGATGTCCTATAAAAGAATTATAATTTTTAGTTTTGCAGAATAGAGACATGAACATTTTAAGACTGAGCATTATGTAATAGTGTTAAACATTTGGTAGGAATCTATATAATTCACTTAACATTTCTCCTGATGTATAGTGAGGAAAATTAAATTTATCAGCATCTAGATTATGTAATACTCATATTTTTATTTGTGTTGTTTTACACATAGAGAAGGGAAGGAAAAAAGAAAACTGGCTACTAACAAAGGGCTATATAGCCACTGTTACATTCCTTTCTTAGATTTTAGAATATTTTTTCCTCTTTAATCTCTTCTATGATTTTCCTAGTCTTAAACTTTCTGACTGCTTCTACCTCTATTGAAAACTTTGGTTTTTTTGGATACGGTGTTTTACCATTTTCAATTTTAATGGTTAAATTAATAGAACCAGATGAGCTAATCAGTGTGCATGCTAACAACTTCCTTTATTCCAGTACCACAGAAAAAATACCATCTGAGACCTTGCGTACCTTAATTCTTTTCCCCCTGAGTCAATTCAGAGACTCAATTCCTAGTTGATGTATTTTTCTTGAAATCATTAGAGTGCTTCTTTGTAACTTCTGAAAAAAGAGGAAAAGCAAGAGCTAGGTCTTGGTTTTTCCTCCAACTCCAGTTACTTTCATGGGACTAGATCTTGTTGTACGTTAATGCCTAGGAATTTAACAGACTGACAAATAGTATGCTTGGACATTTGAAACAATGCTTTATCAATATCAGTATCTTCCACTGCTGATTCATCTAAGCCTCATCTAAGGCTCCTGAAACTCTATTTAGTAGACACTTATGATACAGTAAATACATTTGTAATATACAGCTGGGCTTTCTAAGTGGAAAATTTAACAGCTTCACAGTCTGATGAGTATTTAAACGACTTGTAATCTTAGTTTTATAAAATGTAAATTCAAAAAGACTTGTATGCAGTAAAATGTTATTAATTCCTACACGTTTAGGATTTGGGGTAATTGGACTCAATTAACATTTATCAAATGCCTATTATTTGCCAGGAAGTTTTCTAGGCACTGGGCACATAAATATGAATAAATTAAATTTCTAGGCCTTGACCTGCTGAGCAGAAAAATAATTTTTTACTATTTATGAAAAAAGGTTCTTCACAGAGAATAAATCATGTAAGCCAGACGAGGAGGGGACTGTCTCCATGCCTCAGAACTAGCTTACCTTTAAGCACTATGAGAAGTAAATCTTTACGCGAAAGTCAGTGAATTGGTATGTTAGCACAAACTAGCACTACTTAGTGGATATTGGTATGTAATTACAATTTTAAGCGTAGTTTAAAAATGCATACTGGACTCTCAAGCAATATTTGAGTCATCATGTTCTGGTTGCTGTGAGTACTAGGAAATAACACTGACACTAATTTTAAAAAATTTTTAGAGTTCTGTCACATAAATAAGTCTCTTCAGTTAGTCTTCTGAAATTTTAATAGATTTCTGAGCCCTAGAGATTTCTTTCTAATAATTTTTCAAACGTTCTCGTTAGTAATATAGTTTTAGATGTTGTGCTGAATGTTAGTTTGCACTTTACAGAGTTCTAGGAGGATATAGTGTTAAATAGCCAATGAATTAAACCAAAAATCTCCAGGGAACACAGGCTGGAGAATAATAATGCCAGCCCAGCATCATGAGTTCAACCA